TTTTAAGATTTTGAAGTACTAAACCAATGTATGTAGCAGTAATTAAAGTAGTGATGTAAAAAAATAGGCAAAGCTCATGGAGACTGTGGATTATGGGGGTTGTAATCCAACACATCTGGAGACTCAGAATTGGTGAAAAACAGCAGCGTTCTAGCACTACATGCAGAATATTGAACAGCCTTGCTTTGCTTCAAGGGGCCATTCTCAGTTGCCTAAGATAATTCCTTTGCACTGCTGGCTTTGTGCATTTTGAAAAGGAACTACCCTGATTTTAAAAATAAGCATACTTTTGTTTTGTTTTTAAAGAAAAGCATGATATGAGGTAGGATTTTTTAAAAAAAATGCAATGCAATATTTAATTTACAGTGATTGCAATACAATAAATTCAGCTCTACTAAAAAATACAAGCCACGTTCAATTACTCTCTGCATTTCTACTGAAGATTTTTAAAGCTTTAAGAAGGGTTAGGTTAGGGTAATCCAAACACCAAATCATCTTCATGGCTGCATGTCAGAATTCCATAGGGATTAGGGAAAGTGCAAAATGCTTCCTGGGAAACTCAACATCTTGGTTTTTGTTTTTTAAAAAAGAAAATGTTCCAGCTCTTATGGTTGTAAAAATATGCTTGAAAATTGTATTATAACTTGGAGGAGGGGACGCTTTTTCAGTGACTGGAATTAGTGTCTTGGTTCTTAGTTTGCAATCTCTTACCACAAGGAGAGATGCTAAGTATTGGTTCCATATGCATACTTTCCCACATGTTGCAGAATCTTACTACTCGGTCAGTTTTTGGTCTGTGACAGAATTTACAGTTATACTGCAAAATATTTGAGAAGTTTGATTAAGAAATAGGTAAAAAATTACCATGACGGAAGCTTTTGCATTATCAAAATAAAATGACTAAACAAAAATACTTTTAAGAATCCAGCTCACTGAAATAATATCTGGAAGAAAATTACATAAAGCTTGATCTGGAAGCTTGAAAGATAATTTTTTTATAACATAACATATTGATCCATTCATACTGTTCATTCATTCAGTCATTTACTCCATTATGTAGCTCCCCACTTGCCAAACAACTCTTGCTAGTAATAGTGAAGATTATTTCTATGATTGTACTTTAAAGTTAGTATCATCTAGGCAGCTTCATTCCAAATAAAACAGCATCTGATCTTTTTTGAAGTATATTCATAGCTACAAATACATAGCCAACCAACTGAATTTTGAGATAACATTTACAGGCAATTCAAAAAGTATTTTAGCGTAATTTGAAGTCACTGGAACTGTACTAAGATTGACATTAGCAAAAAGGCACTGCATTTCAGAAAACCATTACTCTTTTTGAATGAGAACTCCGAAGAAATCCTGTTTCTTTCGGATGTTTAAAACATGAGTTTTCTCTCGAGACTTCCATTTACATCCGACTGTCAGTTCTGTTATATTTGGACGTATTCAAGTCTAAGCAGACAGATGAAACTACATACGGTAGATGTCGAGGTTTAGTGTCGGTAAGAGGTCCTGTAGTTTCCCTCATTAAATCATTAAAGGAAGTAGTTTATTGGACTAAAAAAAATAAAAAAAAACCCTAAGATTTCAACAGTACAACCTGGAACTTATGCATTTAAAGCTTGCACTCTGCTTGGGCATATGCATATGCACATACAGAAGTTCACTTTCTCAAACTTTCCTGACTAGTCAAAGAGCCTTTCATCATGGGTGATTCAGTTTCACAGGAGAACTGTGAAGTTACACTTTTATCCCCCAAACACTTGTTTTTAATCCCCAGAATCACTTTTATGTAACCTTATCCTACATAAAAAATAAGCAGAATTCAAATTCTGGCAGCTGGACTAAGGGAATTTTCCATTTTATGTATATATTTTTCTCATAGTATAGAATTAATGACCTATATATATACACAAAATTCTGATTCATAACCACTGGCTTGTACTTCTACATGCAGTTTAAGCACCATGAATCTTCTTTGCACCCCCCCTGCTCCTTTTAACTAAATCTGGCGTGCCAAGAATCTCCTTATTCTGCAAGTCCATTAGGCCTTAGGTTTATTTCTGACAGATATAACTCAAAAGTTGAACCAAGCGCAATAACTCTTTTTCCTCTGTAAATATAACTATTTACAGGAATTAAGAATAATGTTTTCAGACCCTTGTAATATGCCAGTTCTCACAAGTGTAGTCTTGGAAGATTACTACTGATTGGACATCAAAAAATATACGTACTCATGTGAAAACGAAGTAACCGTATGGGAAGATTTCAAATGGATAAAGAAAAGACGGGGAGTCAGTATTTATACAAAAGCACAAAGACATTTCTCCTTCCATCCCAGTCTAACCTTCAAAAGAAAGAAGTAGGAATATAGGAATCATATAGAGTTCAGATGTTGTAGGAAGATTAATGTTTAATTGCTTACCTTAAAAAAGATTTTGGGGTTGTGGAGAAAGAAGAAAGAGAGTGTGTCCCAACATTCAATGTTTAGGTGGACCAAAGTAAGTATCTATGGTGCTGCTGTCTACCTATTTGCTTTGCCATTCATTTGAAATCTTAACAAGGTTTCAAATACCTGCTCTCCAGTTCATATTCCAATGATTGATCTAGCCACATATTTTTTATTTACAAAGTAATTATCTATGATAAGCCATGGCCTATATTATTTCTCTCTGCAGCCCAGTTAGAGGGAGAGTAGTTGACAACCAGCATTTTCTATTTTTTGGTTTTCTGTCTCAGCTGGGTTTTTTTATGCCTTTGGGGTATACATAAAATTTAAGCAGAAATGCATATATTCTAAAAATTTTAAGGAAAGAATACATTAAAAATAAAAAAGTAAGATTGGACTCAAGCCAGAGCTTGATCTGCAAACTGATTTTAAATCTGATTTCATCTTAAAATTCAAGAACTGATTATGTGGACATATCTAGCTAACTCAGATCATCCAGCAAAAAGTGATTTGTACTTAATTTTAAATGCAAATTGTATTCATCTCGTATCAACAATATATTTGTTTACCTTTCTCTCACATACACAAGAGCACCATTTAAATACACCACATGGCTAAGCAGGTTTTGGATTAAGAAAATTGTTCTAGCCATTAAAATAGATGGCTAGAAACTCAACTCTGACGATGAACAATATTAAACAAAGACTGAATCACAGAAGAACAAGAAGTGTAGGTATTGTCTGCCATTCCATCCTATATCTAACTTAAAGATATATTCCAGACAGCATAGCTCTGGGCTTGTTCATATTTATGTTAATCTATTAAATCATTTACAGAGCATATGGTGATCAACAGCTACATTCTAGTCCCATAAGCCACAAGTTTTTAATAAAATGGCTACACAAACTACTCTGAGAATCTGTCAACACTTTTTTTTTCAGAAGAGCATTTATGGACATCTATTACCCAAAATTTGATATTTTTCTGAACCACTTTATAAGTTTATTCTGTATTTGGCATAATTTTCAGAAAAACTTGCAGAGCGGCTAATTGCTAAATGAAACTTGTCCTCCTACTGGAAAAATCACTTTCTTTTAAAAATTATTCAGGCATGCATTCATATTAGTTTCCAGGATATCAGATAGAAAACTGTCATGTAGATGAGTTTTAGATGATTTAAACAGATAGGAACGAGAATCTGGCAAAACCTTAAATCTTAAAATGGCTCTCAATCAAACACTTTGCCTGTAAATTCCAGGGAGCCAATGATCTGTCACCTTACTTGCATATCTACAGAAAATGACACACGATTAATTTATGTTTTATGTATCTCATGTTCAATGGAAATTCAGCGATCTTCTAGTATAAGGAATTTTGTTTATGCCTCTACTGGGCAACAACAGGACATTTGATTTTGTTGAAACATCTTCAGAGGTATTACAGCCATGTTACTATGACATGTTTTCACATGCAAATATGCTAATAAAATGTGTTACTATTGGAACAGAAAAAAATATTTAGTTTTGCAAAACCTTTTGATTTTCATATACAGCTGGTGATAATTTTATACACACAAACAGAAACATATATATATATATATATATATATATATATATATATATATATATATATATATATATATATATATATATA